CTCTCGAGAATGCGCAGTACGGACTGGAAATCATCTTTAACCAATGGCGCTTGCGTCTGAAATATATTTGGAGTTCTTGCAAAGTCACCTGGTGACGTCGGCGCAAGATGAAATGAAATAGAATCAATAAAACTGAACAAAGTCTGAGCTTGCACGCACGCCAGGGCGTAAATGCCAAGTTCTTTTAAGTTTTTAACCATTACATAAATTCAAGTAAGGTCCAAACTACACCTTCCTTATCTATTTGTATCTGCACTGAATGAAAACCTTATTCTGAAACTGCATGCCCGTGCACAGCTGAATTTCTAAGTCAAATATGCAGTTGAACCCCCCTAATTCGAACGCGATTACTTCGAATTCTTTCTTATTTCGAACTCAAAACGATTTCCCTTAGATTTGTCCTTCACTCATTTACTATTGGCTATTTCGAACTCCCGCAATTTCGGAATATGCGAGGTTCATCTGTGGTATAGCTAGTGGGCCTGTAAACAAACTTTCCGTAACATAGCAACATAGAATTATACAAAAAGGAAGACCGTTGAGAATAGAATATATTTGTAAGCCTTCAAGGGTTATCTGGTTTTCAGGGTAAGTTAATTTGTAAACGTCTTCCTGTCAGTCAACATAATTGTTTTCCTGAATCGTTAAGTACGCACCTCCCCTCTCCCCTAAATCTTGGCGAGGTTGTTTGTATATAAATCATCTTTCATATCCCAGCTTCTTGACTTAATTTATTGAATAGTTATGATCTTTATTTTTGATGGCGTGACACTACAAACCAGCCATTCATCGTTCAATATAACCGTCGCACGAAATAACACACAAAATGTTGTATACATTCTTCCGCTATGACGGGTCGACATCACAGGAGAGGAATCGTGCGATTCGAGTCGAATTAATCGAGTCGACTCGACAACATTTTCAATTTAGGTGTATTGGGCAACCCTTAAACGATTTGAGAGAGAAAGAAGCCCTCTGACAAAAACATGTGATAATATAATACGACTATATCAATTTTACAAACAGGATAAATTAGAGAATACGAACTGAATTGTAAAAGAACCTTTTGTGAGAAAAAAGCAGAAATAAAAAGAAATCTAACATCAATTTTCTTTTCTAAGATATCGTTGTTATGTTGTTTTTGCGTAGGGTGTTAAATAATTTGTCGTGCTGATAGCCCGGGAACTGGCTCTAGGTAATTGATAAAATTACGTAATAATCAGCAAATAATTATTTTATCTCGTATAGTAACGGCTTCAATGCGTAGGTTAAAGTCTTTTCTAACAGCCGAACCCGAATTGATTGAATCCATCAACCTATGGTGCGCTATCAATTTCCATGCATGTTTCAGTCCAAATGCTGTTTTTATCCGAGACAAAACAACATCGCCAACATCTGCTTATGAGTGTATCACAGCCAAAACCTGATTCTCCTATATTTTTTTGATATACGTATATATGGGACTCTCCGTCGGCAAACGACAATATCCTTCTTGGAGAGCACAACGTACGGGCAAAACTTTATAATGCTTTGCACTACATCACCGTAGCATTAAAATTGGAGTTGAGTGTTAAATTAAAACATCTGTTAATACATCATACAATGAAAGCCAATATGTTCTTTAATATTATTACACGCAAAGAGCTAAAAATTTCGTCGATTACTAACTGTAACTAGCTCTCTAATTTGCAGTGAAATCGTATTTAGAATGATACCATTTAGTCTTTAAACTTGACTTCCCTTATGGCAAAGATACAAACATTTCTGACGCAATTTGTTTTGAATCAGTATGAATGGCGAAAGCTCTAATACCATATTAACCAAAAAAATCGCCATCCATTATCAAGCACCGCCCTCTAATAAGCGCCACACCTGAACGACAGCATAGCGCGTTATATTCGAAACACTTGTGAGACTGCATCTAAAGCAGACGCTTATATTCAAATGAGACGCCCACGTCCCTTCGCAACTGGGTGTCTCTCTCAATTAAATACATTTTTAAGTAACCATATAAAAAAATCTCTAATTAGTTGAAGGTATTCAAAAGGCAACTGTTTTTTATTTATTTTCCGGATTACCAAGAAAAGCAAAAAATACTTCACTTTCCAGAGGCAAACACTAGTTGTTACCCCAAAATAGATATTAAGCAAAAAACATTACAAGACAACTATCTAAGAAATCCTTCTTACTTTCTTTTTGGCATCAGAACTTTCTTCACCGAAAATGACTACAAATACCAGTGAGAACTTCACAAACTCCACTTCTGCATCACTCCCGGCATCACCGCAGTGCACATATGACCCCAATTCACCGACTGAGCAAGTTCAAGACTATAGCTATTGCGTGCTTCATCATCATGTTCGGTTCACTGATCGGTAACGTGTTGGTCATATGCGTCGTTATTATAAACAGGCAA